AAGCTGTTATCGTTCCATCCTGACGGATGACATGCGTGACAGCTCAGTGGAATCCCGGAAAACAAAGCGTGGAACTTTGACCAATGAGAGAACAGTTTACTCGCGCGTGACTTGTATTAACAAATTTGGTCCGTTTAGAAACTTTGCCTGTGAAAGCAAACTGCACCAAGAATAAAAAGCAACATTGTAATAATTTGAATCCCTGTTTCGGAACAAAAGCAATCGATCTACAGGTGTGAAAGCACCCCAAGTCTTTAATGACCCAGTTGTCATCTTGTAAATAACTTGTTTGTGCCTAAGACCTTGTTGTTATGAGATTGACATGAACGGTGTACAAATGGATTCTTTGAGAGTTTGATCAACAAACGCAGAATTTCCTTACCTGCAGAATCACTGAGACCTTCATGCAATAGACTGACTCTCTGAGCAATGCTCAGTGCTCGAATATGCACTTTCTCTGCCAGTACCTGAGGCACAAACATACACACATATTATATTTGAACTTATAGCGTACACTACCATTCAAAAGATTGGGGTCAGTAAGCTTTTCTTTTGAAAGAAATGAACACTTCTATTCAGAAAGGAAGCATTAAATTGATCAAAACTGACAGCAAAAAAATTTTTTTGCAGTTCCTTCCCACAAAAAATAAAAATAAGCAGCACAATTGTTTTCAACATGTTCATGTTTCTTGAGCACCAAATCAGCATATAAGAATGATATCTGAATACAAGAGGCTGTTGAAATTTCAGTTGTCATCACAGGATCAAATTATATTTCAATATATATTAAAATAGAAAAATCATCTTTCAAGTTGTAATAGATTTCACAATATTTCTGTTTTTACTGTATTGATGTTTAAATAAATGCAACCTTGGTGAGCATAAGAGAAAAATCGCACTAACCCCAAACATTTAAACGGTAGTGTACGTTATACATATCTGGAATAAACATTTTTGATCACAGAACTAATCGTTGCCTGGGTTGCGTACGTATATGTGGGGCGGAGCTATCAAAATAGGGGCAAGACCCTTTTGGGGTAGGGGCGTGTTTGTTTTGGTGATTTCACATATCAACATTGGCTACCAGAAATCGCTTACTCTGCCTTTAATGCACGTTAGTCATTTTGTTTTTTCAAACAATTTTACCTGATAAGCAAGTTTCCTGACTTTCTCTTTGACGTCCCGGGTGCGCTTGTAGATTTTATGAAGTGTAGTGGCCGAGGGAGCGATGCAAGACAGCACAGCTCGTCTAACTTCAGGGTTTGAGTCATTTTCCAAAAGCAGCATATAAGCTAAAAACACAGAATAATCACTTTTACCTTGTTTTAATTTATATTCTTGAAAATTCGTGGATCAGTAACAAACATGTTAACTAGGGACTGTAGCTCAATGTCCTTTAGCATGAAGTATGAGCATTGAGTACCTTTAATAGTGGGGCAGTCAAAGTTACTGGGGTCCTGGAGTCTGGACATGGCCAGTGCTGCCTGAATCCTGACATTAGGGTATTTGTCTGTGACTCTGATCAGCATGGCATCATGGATCCTATCACACAGATCATCATCAATCTGAGCATTCTCACTCAGACTGCCCAGCAGCTTATTCACCAGCTGACAAACACGAAACCGCACCGCATGGCTGTTTGCACCATGAGACTGAGGGAGAGACAAAGATATTAAAGATAAGAAATCTAACGTAAACAAGTAACGCTATAAGATACGCTCGTCACTCATATGCAGGCCTGAGAGAAAGCATACTGACATTACCTCTAACAGGAAGTTGAACAGGAAGTTCAAAAACTCATTCTCGTCTTCCTCCTCCTCCTCTTCAGCATTCTCATTAACAGGAGTTTCGAAACTTGCAGCAAACTTTGTGACAAAATCAATGACATTCTCCACTGCTGGCTCTCGGGTGTAAATGATCATGGCATACTTCAGGCAGCGGATGAACTCCTCATGGAATTCGGTCTTATCTTCCAACTACACAGAGAGAACAGAATTAAAATAGATCTCTTATTCAGAATATTTTTTAATGTATCAGACACAATGTAGGAAAATATCCTATTCAACTAAAATACCATTCAAAAAATTTGGGGTCAATATATTACACGTTTTCAAAAGAAGTCTCGTATGCTCATAAAGGCTGCATCTATTTAATCAAACTTACAATAAAAAAAAAATCTTGTGAAATATTATTACAATTTAAAAGAAATGTTTTCTATTTCAAAATGTAATTTCAGCAGACATTCATATTTCCCGGCATTGGCAATATACAAAGAGGTTATGGTGGGAGATTACTAAATTTATAAATGACAAATTGTTGTGCAATTTTCTTTTACTATATACTTTTTTTTGTAGTTTTCTCTCTCTCTCTATATGTGAAATATTATTACAATTTAAAACAAATGTTTTCTATTTCAAAATGTAATTTCAGCAGACATTCATATTTCCCAGCATTGGCAATATACAAAGAGGTTATGGTGGGAGATTTCTAAATTTATAAATGACAAATTGCTGTGCAATTTTCTTTTACTATATACTTTTTTTTTGTAGTTTTCTCTCTCTCTCTCTCTCTCTATATATATATATATGCATTTCAGATGCAAGTATCCCCTCGGCAGTTTTGTTATGCAATTGTTCAAGCATAGTTTTCAGTGTCATATGATCCATAACAAATCAATCCAATATGCTGATTTGGGGCTCAAAAAACATTTCTTATTATTATCATCAATGTTGAAAACAGTTGTGCTTTTTGTGGAAACTGAGATGCATTACATCATGATAAATAGTTTTAAATACATGATAAATTTTTAATATATTTTTGTAGTCTTTTCAGTCATTTATCAACTAAATGTATCTCCCCAAAAAAACACATTTCAGACCCCAAAATATTGAAGGGTAGTATATCATAATGTGAATTTTATAATGTACATCTGCTGTACCTTATTATATCTGTTCTTCAAACTGGCAACAAGTTTGGCCTTGTTATTATGAGCTTTCTGTGCTCGCCGGAAAGCCTCTTCAATCACCAGATCACTGTCTCCAGACATGTTGAAGTTACTGAAACACAAATACAAATTACATGCGTGAATATATGATATATGATATTGTTTACAAAACCAATACACCCATTCATTTCAGACAGATACCAAATGAAAGACACCTACTTGAACATGTATTTTGTTTTTAGTTGTTTTAGCGTTAGCTGTTAATAGCACACTTCACAGGTTAAAGTTAATTAGTCACAGCAGAAGTCAAATAGAGTTAACTCAGCACGACAGAATCGTTACCTGATCTTTCCTCGACCCATCGGACACTTTTAATGATCTAAATAAAGAGTTATTCATTAAATGACCTAGCATATACCACACAACTAGATGACATCCCATACTAAATAAAACAAATAAGTAAACAGGTGAAACAGCTGAATAAAATATCATATTCCCTGTGAAACAGGTTTGTTTGTGTGAAGGAAGGAAATTAGCAACTCCGCCTAAACCTGCTGTTAGCACCGACCGTTAGCATCGACACAAAAACACGAAGAACTAACTCATAATTATAATTTTAGCGAATTATAGTTTGCCAGAACATTCATCCTTGTTCGTGTCTTTGCATAATACATAATTTCTGATCAAGACGTTTTGGGGGAAATACTTTAATCCGCCTCGTACCTGCAGGAAATCGCTTTTGAGTCTTCTATCTTGAAAAACGGTGAAGCGCCACTTTTCAAACCGTCCTCTCGCGAGAGTATCGTAGGACCGCCTCCTTCCGCTTCTGGCTGTCAATCACAGCCAGCTGTAACGCGTTCATTCCTTCAATGTTGCTCACTACGTAGTTGGCCAATACTATTCCTACAGGGGGCGTTCAGAGGCTTAAGTAAGAGCAGCGTTAAACTTCGTTTCATATCTTAGGACGTGTTTTGTCCTGTCATACTGGAGGTGTTTGTGCACTAATTAATATAGCTGTTTAACTTTATTATTTAGTTATTTGAGACTGACATAGAAATATATAGAAAGTCTGCTGGCTGAATATATTTAGCAGCTTCTACAGTTAAAGATAAAACCTAAAGCACTCTTTTTGATGAGTCCTTGATGAGGCAATGTTCGAAAATTGTAGTTTTTAAAATATATTTTAAAAAAGTCAAAATATTTAATGCATTATTTAATTATTTTACCATTAAAAATTAACTTATTTTTTTGTTGACTTGTTAAATATTCAAATAATTAACCCTTATAGGCTGTTGATGTCTGGGCTTATTTGTTTATTTATTTATTTTTTAAATGACATGAGACTTCCTGCTTTTTGCTATACTTCAGTCACTTTTGTAATAACTCCAAAAGCAAGACGTGAAAAAAACTAGGGAGTGGAAATTGCAACTGAGTTAATGAGTGATCCTCTGCTTCCATCTACTGGTTATAATGGTAATTTCATGTCATTTTTCAACTTACAAGTCTTTGTTTTCCCCCAGGATACAATTGTTCATGTCATCTATTGTAGTTTTTAAAATATATTTTAAAAAAGTCAAAATATTTAATGCATTATTTAATTATTTTACCATTAAAAATTAACTTATTTTTTTGTTGACTTGTTAAATATTCAAATAATTAACCCTTCTAGGCTGTTGATGTCTGGGCTTATTTGTTTATTTATTTATTTTTTAAATGACATGAGACTTCCTGCTTTTTGCTATACTTCAGTCATTTTGTAATAAATCCAAAAGCAAGACGTGAAAAAAACTAGGGAGTGGAAATTGCAACTGAGCTAATGAGTGATCCTCTGCTTCCATCTACTGGTTATAATGGTAATTTTATGTCATTTTTCATCTTACAAGTCTTTGTTTTCCACCAGGAGACAATTTTTCATGTCATCTTCATGAATGAATAATGCAAAAACTGACACTTTAAATCAACATTTCAAACAACAACAACTAAACAAAAACGGATAAAGACAAAAAGTGCTCACTGAGAATATCTAAACATGTATCCAAATGTAATAAAATGAATTTATGTGTGATTACAATTTCTTAGCAGCTAGGGATTGCATAAACCAGTTTACATATTTTACATAGGGCAATACAGGCATCTAGTGGCTACACAATGGTTTTACAGATGCGATCTGTAATTATATCACAAATATAATTTGGAAGTGCATCAATGTTGCTATTTATATACAAGGCCTACTTGTAATCAGATTATATTACGTTTTAAAATGCTTATAATCAGATTACAGTTACTTTTTAATGGATTACATGATTACATATTATTCACACAAAGACAGTCAATTATTCATGATTTATTGATTCACCCCAATTCTTTTTTTTTTCTTCTTCTTTTAAATTTTCCGTTCTAAATGAACCTACCTTCTAACGAAATATGGTTCAGACATGTATGAGGATTTCACTTTTCCCATTTATTTAAAATAATGCTTACGCACGTAATTTTCTACCTTTATAATTTACTGTTCGAGGACGAAGAAAATTGTTGATGCTTCTGTTCATAACAAAAACGATCTGAATCTTTAAACACTCACAAATCAGATGTAGTATCTGTAAAGAAACCGAGGCGTGGAAATAGCGCGTGCTTATGTTTGTTGTGCTGCTGGGCGTGTTGGTGATCCTGGGAGGGGTTATGATTACACTGCAGTACCCGTGACTCGTAATGTAAGACTGTAGTCACACCCCGGGTGAGAGACAGGTGTCCGGGCTGGGGGCACATGCCGTCAGTGAGTCGTGTCCCGCGGTGCGGAGGAGCGCCGATGGCATTATCTCGTGAGCTGTACGCTCACCGGCAGCTCGACGGCGGAGCACCGGGCGCTGCAGCATGCACAATGCTTTCGGCTGTCGTAAGGACTCTAACGTTACCTTCAGGATCACGTAGAGGCGACCAGGGTGTTGCGCAGCCCAGCTTGTGATTGATCAGAGTTGTTATTATGGCTTCGAGCTCCGGGAAGATGAACCAGCCCCCCGGCGGCAGCGGTGCATGTAACGGGACCGCTATTGCGGATATCCCCAATGTGAATGTAGAGCAGGAACTGTTTGATTATCAAATGCACACGAAAATGTGCAAGAAAATAGCGCAGCTGACAAAGGTAAGCGCGTTATTTTACTAGCCTACTCAACTAACGGGACTCATTTAACTGTGTCCCGTTCACTTAACGTGCGCCGCATATGTGTTTATATATATTGTATATATATGTACATATATATATATATATATATGCGCTGAACCTTTTTGCTACCTACTGCGCAAAATTTACGCTACATCATTTGAATGTAGCCTACTTAAAAGGCAGAGTTTAAGACAGTAAATAATATAAATTAGTGACACGTATCATTATGCTGTCTGAGCCACTGGCGTTTTTTCATGGAATGCAACAGGGTTTTAATGCACTGTCTTTCCATTACAGCTGATGCAGGCTAAAAGGCAGAGTTTAAGACAGTAAATAATATAAATTAGTGACACGTATCAGTATTTATGCTGTCTGAGCCACTGGCGTTTTTTCATGGAATGCAACAGGGTTTTAATGCACTGTCTTTCCATTACAGCTGATGCAGGTAATCCAAGACAAGTCACGATTTCAATAGATGTTGTGTGTGGTAGCAAATGCGCTTTCGTGGAGTTTATATAGTTCAGGGAGGGCTAGTGAAGTTCACGCTGCAAAGGGCTCATCTAAAATAATCTGACCCGTGGGTGATCACTGGCAACAGAGATGTGGTGCGTTATTTATCATCAGGTTTAGATGGGGGTGAAGAACCACCCATTCACAAGCAAGCAGCATCCAGTTGTTAGGACCAGTAGAAGCTTGTAACCCGAGGTTAAAGTGGCAAACTAGTTCAGCTTGGCCAAAAAAACAAACTAATACATTTTAGTTAAGTTAAGCCATATTTGTTACAGTTTTGTGTTTGTTCTACTAGCAAAAAAGCACACTGGATTTATGTTTTTTTAGGATATAATATGTATACTGCATACTGCAGTAGTAATATTTGTTAAAAGCTACCATTTTTGAATAGTGCCAAGGAAATAATCAATAGGCTATTGATTGACATTACATGAATATTGTAATCTTTCAGTGCTGAGGTGTATATTATAGTTCCATCATATTTATCTAATGGCACCTTAGTACTTTTTCTGATGGCCTTAGTACTTAGTACTTTATAATTTCTTATTTATTCATCTTTAGGACTGTAAACTCACAACTATGGACCTTTTGTGACCATAGTTAGCGAACGATGTGTTTGGGAAATGTGCCAAGATATAATTTTATCAACAAAACACAACTTTAGAAGCAAACACATTTACACAAACTTCCCCTCATATTGCCGTTTCAGTTTGAATTATGCATTTTTGGTTAAACTGCACCTTGATGATATATGATAAAATCAATAGCCATAATTCTATCTGACACTGCATGAAAAATGATTACCCTCTTGGTCAAGTATAATTATGAAAACATGAATGGCTGTATTATCTACACACTATTAATGCCTAATACATACAGAGTCAATTGGGCCTGTACTTTTTGAATCCTTAAAATGTTTGGTCATCTTTACTAGGATTGCAAAAGGAAAAAAATAGCTTAAAATAAGGGTTAAAAACTCATAATCCCTATATGTCCTTGAAATAGAGCACTAAAATATTTATTTACAATACTATTTGTCATTTTGGATTTGTTTAAAAAACATACCAAGTAACTAAACAACCTACATGCTTTTCACAGCACATGAAATTAAATATAAATGAGCACAAAATTTTGATTATCAACAAAACTAATTGAAGCAAACACATCTACACACACTTACCTATATACTGGGAGTTTCAGTTTTAATGATGTGTTTTTGGTTAAACTGCATCTTGATGATGTATGATAAAATCAATAGCCATAACCATATCTGTCGCTGTGTGAAAAATGATTATCCTCTTGGCCAGTTATGAAGTGTAACTATGAAAACATAGAGGTTAAAGGCTATAATATCTACACACTATTAATAGCTAATGCATGCACCGTCATCTGGATCTGTTGGGGCAGGAGAAGGGAAGTGAGAGAGTGTGTATCAGGTTTTATTAGTATGAACCTTAGTCAGTGAAGATGCCATATTTTCTGAGAATGAAAACAAGGCTGTGAGGGATGTAAGCCTTTTCTATGGGCAGTTTTCCTCTGGAATTGATTTTGGAAAGGAGTTTTTTTTTTTCTTTTCTTCAGTTTGATACCCAGGTAAACAACAGTGAAAGCTATTGAACGGACTGTACGCATGTCCCTCAAAGCCTCGTTTTCATTCTTGTCAAATGAAAAAAGTGCGTCTGCCCTGACTAAGGTCCACTGGGGTTAGGAACATGGAAATGGCAGCACTGTTACTAAACAAAATAGGT